TTTTTGTCAGAAGGCAGATTGGGCTTTTAAGACATTTTTGAAGAATCACGTCAGGATTCCTAAAAGAAAAAGCTGGCAAGAGACAAGCATACGAGGGATTTTGCCATAGCATCTTGCTAGCTGCTGATGCAGTCCAGACCCGAGTGCATTGTGGGAAATTCCCATTGTTCCATGGACAATGGCCTTCCCTAGTCCTGTTGCTTGGATCCACCCACATTATTTTCTTTCATTAAGTAAATGAGATATTTGAAGTAATGAAATGGAGAATTTGTGGTGTTGGATATTAGATATTACCATTATTCCATATTCGTATTTGATATGCCCAAAACAGTAACAATAATGGGTCTCATTCCCCTGAACCCTGAAAGAGCATCCAATATGGCAGTGCTGGGAAAGATGAGTAAGGAGAGGCTGTTAAAATCTCAGGGCTGGGGCGAACAGAGATGTTACTGGTGCCCGCTCGAGTAAATCGGTAAACAACAGGATGAGAGTGATACTGTGATACCATTATTCCAATGTATTTGCTTTCACGGCATATAGAGGGGGATATTTAGATACTCCCGTGGGAAATAGAGAGGACACACCCGTCAAAAAAACATTATACTTTATGAGGAGTTGCAAATACCTAATATTATTATTTCAACGATTAAAAAAACACAGACTGAAAGATGCCTGGCTCAGTGGCAGGAGGATCTGCTTGCATGTTCTGGTTGTTTATTATTGGGGGACCACAACTAGTGGCATTCAGGGGTCGCTCCAGTCTGGTGCTCGAGGAAACACCATGTTGCCTGGAGCCCAGGCCCCACAGGCAAAGCCAGCGCCTGGCCTGCTGGGCCCTCTCGGTCATTTCTCCCAGTCAGACCCACGGGGGTCTTGGTCATCACTATGGCAGCATGGCTCCAGGGCCACAGTAAGGCTACTGTCCACAGCAGTGAGGCCAGCAACCGTCCTGACGGCCTCAGGCAGAGAGCAGAGGCGGCCCAGTGCTGGCTGGCTCTCTGGGTCGGGGTCCAGGAGCCCTCTCGAGGCAGAGGCAGCTGGACCACCATCCCCAGGGCATAACCCCCGTGTCACACAGCCAGCACCCACACTCCCAGGCAAGAGCCGATGTGTGTGGACATGGAGGCAGCCAGAACACCACCCCTACCGGCTCATCCCCACTTCCTGAGTCAGGGAACACCGGGGTCCCTTCCCAGTCTGTGCTCTGTCCAGGCCCTCTTGGTCTATCCTTCGTCCACGACCCCTGCCCCGTCCTGCCCTTTCCCCGTGACACTGCGCATTCCTGCCCTCCCACCTCGGGGCCTAGCTCAGGCCCATCTCAGACCCACCTAAAACCCATCTCAGGGTCACCTCAGGACCACCTCAGGATCACCTCAGGGCCACCTCGGACCCACCTCAGGGCCCACCTCAGGGCTATCTCAGGGCCACCCCTCAGGGATCACCTCAGGCCCACTTCAGGCCCACCTCAGGGCCACCTCGGCCCACCTCAGGGCTACCCCTCAGGGACCACCTCAGGCCCACCTCAGGCCCACTTCAGGCCCACCTCAGGGCCACCAATCAGGGACCACCTCAGGCCCACCTCAGGGTCACCTCAGGGTCACCCCTCAGGGTCACCTCAGGGCCACCCCTCAGGGTCACCCCCCGGGGACCACCTCAGGCCCACCTCAGGGTCACCTCAGGGTCACCCCTCAGGGTCACCTCAGGGCCACCCCTCAGGGTCACCCCCCGGGGACAACCTCAGGGTCACCTCAGGAACCTCCTCAGGCCCACCTCAGGGCCACCTCGGCCCACCTCAGGACCACCTCAGGGCCACCACAGGGCTACCCCTCAGGGACTACCTCAGAGCCACCCCTCAGGAACCACCTCAGGGCCACCTCAGGGCCACCTCAGGCCCACCTCAGGCCCACCTCAGGCCCACTTCAGGACCCACCTCAGACCCACCTCAGACCGACCTCAGGGCCACCTCAGGACCCACCTCAGACCCACCGCAGGGCCTATCCTCATGTGGGGGATTTCTCCTTCCTGATGCTGCCTCCCCATGGCAGGTCCCACGGCTGCCCGCTCTGGCCACCATCCATGTCCAAAGGCACCCTGAGCTCACAGTCAGCTGTTCAGACAGGCCATTTTGGGCACAGCTGTTACCATGCTCCGTCCAGCAGTGCTGCTGGCTGAGAGGGACGTCCCAGGAGCACCCGAGGCAAGGTCACCTTTTAGAGCCAGAGCTTGGACAAATGTGCGTGAGAATTGCCAGCAGCGGGCACTGTGTCCCTCAGATGCCCAAACCACGGCTCCTCTACCCTCTGGATTCAGGGTTCTTCCCTCCAGCCACGTGTCTGTCTGGCCCGCACACCCAGCCCCAGGAGACGAGCACTGTGCAGCCTCTAGTCTACAGCGCAGGGACTGGGAAGAGGTTCTGACCCGGAGCAGCTCCCCGCTGGAAGCAGAGTCTCCTGAAGCCGGGCGACACTTTGTAAACTTCTCTGTGGCACCAGCTCACCACGCAGGGCTGGAAGCGAGGACCCCGGCCAGTTAGAACGGAGGTCACTGTTCCGAGACCAGGGAAGAGAGGGCTGCAGTGACCATGAGCACTGGGCACCTGTCTCCACGGACAGCCAGAAACCTGGCCAGGGGGACGGGAAGAGCAGCGAGCAAGTTTCATTCCACTGAGCCTGCCACAGCGCAGTGCAGCAAACATAGACACTCAGACACAGACACACACAGGCACATACACACACAGGCACAGACACACACATAGACACAGACACAAAACACACACAGGCACACACACTCACACACAGACACACACAGGTGCACACACACAGACACACACAGACACAGAAACAGATGCAAAACACACACAGGCACATACAGACACAGACACACAGACACAAAACATATACAGGCACACACAGACACAGACACAAGACACACACAGGCACACACATAGACACAGAAACAGACGCAAAACACACACAGGCACACACAGGCACAGACACACAGACACAAAACACACACAGGCACACACAGACACACACAGGCACATACAGACACACACAGGCACACACAAACACAGACACAGACACAAACACAAAACACACAGGCACATACATAGACACACAGACACAAAACACACACAGACACAGACACAAGACACACACAGGCACACACAGAAACAGACGCAAAAGACACATAGGCACATAGAGACACAGACACAGACACACAGGTACACACAGACACAGATACAAACAAAACACACACAGGCACACCCAGACACAGATACAAGACATACAGAGGCACACACAGACACACACAGACACAAAACACACAGGCACACACAGACACACACATGCAAACACAGAAACATACACACAAACACAGAGACACACAAACACAGGTACGCACAAACATACAGGTGCACACAGAAACAAACAGAAACACAGAAACGTACACACAAACACACAGGCTCATGTACACACACAGAAACAGAGACACGCAGACACACACAGAAACAGACACACAAACACAATTACACACAGAGAAACAGACCCACAAAGACAGGCACACACAAACACACAGAAACGGACACACAAAGAATGGTCAGGCTCAGGGACAGGCACAAACCAGGAGAGGTCTGAGCAGGAGAAGCCGGGGCTGGACAGGCAGTTGCTGTAGGCACTTGAATGTCGGACACTGGCAGGCACTGAGGCGCCTTCTCGCACATCCCCAGAGAATCAGGCCACCCTGTAGGACTAACGCAGGACAGAGACAGTCATCTCCATGACCTTGCATTCCTCCTCCGCCACTGTACTGATGGCCAGGCGGCCCTCACAGGCCCTATGTCCAGCTAGAGGTCCAGCAAGCACTGGCACTTGGGGACGTGTGTACACAATGGTCTAATAATGACACAGAAGCACATGTAATTTTTATTGGGATTTATTCTGCTTTAATTGTCTATGGCAGGTACAATTCTAGTGAACACAGTTATGTCAGAGCTCTGCTGTTAGGAATAGCACACAGGACTGTCTGCATGGCTTACACACGCACACACATAAGCACATGCACACACACACATGCACATACACATGCCCATGCACACACACGACTGCGTGCACACACACATGCATGCGAGCATACACACACGTGCACACACCCAGACACATGCACATGTACACTCACACACGTGCACACACAGGCGTGCATGTACACACGCACACATGCATGAGTGCACACATGTGCACACACACATATGCCTTGTCTGCATGCAAACTCACAGGACACATTCAGGCCTATCCTTTAAGACACAGCTGTACAGTCTGGAATTGTCACCCTCCCACAAATCTGGGCAAACGTGAGAAAGCTCCGGAGCAAGGAAACACGGTCTTCAGTGCACTCACTCTGTGGCACACTCAGTCAGAGAGTTCTAGCTCAATCGCTCACAGTGAAACCAAAGGTAATATTAAAAATAAACACTTCTGCCAACGCACTCACTCAGTTCAAGCTCACACATCTGTACACAACTGCCTTCATCTCAATGTGTGGCACTATGGAGATGTCAGTGGAATCTAAGTGGCACCGGGTCCGGTGGGCAGGTGGCAGGTGGAGAGCACTGTTCCATGCGGCGGTAGGGGTGCGACTGTACAAAGCTTGGGACAAAATGCAGGAGCAGAGTGGAGCTGGGAGCACAGAGCTGGGAGCACGGAGCTGGGGTGTGAAGCTGGGAGCACGGAGCTGGGAGCATAGAGCTGGGAGTGTGGAGCTGGGAGCACAGAGCTGGGAGCATGGAGCTGAGAGGGTCACAGAGCTGGGAGCACGGAGCTGGGAGCACAGAGCTGGGATCTGGGAGCAGGAGTGGAGCTGGAGCTGCAGCGGGAGCCCCCAGCACAGAGCTGGGGCGTGAGCTGGAGCTTGGCCTCGGGAGGACCGACTCTCGGACAGGGCGCAATCAGTCCAGCACAGCTCCCTGCCCCTCGTGCTCCCCCCCGCCCTCCCTCAGGCCCAGGTCCTCCCGCGAGGCAGGGCCGGCATAGCCGGGCGTGGAGGCTCTGGTCCTGGACAGGGCAGCCCAGGCTCCACAGGGCTCTGACAGACTGTCCGTGATACACCCAGGCTCTGGAGGGGGGTCAGCTGGTGGTGAGCATGGGCCCCCCGGAGTTGAGATGAGAGGGCCCCACTGGAAGCACGCCAGGCGTTTCCGGGGACGCCGCTGGGCTCCCAGACACGAGTTCTCAGTTCACACGGAAAGGTTCTGGCCGGGAGTGTGGTGAGGACAGAGAGGAGAAGCAGCCGGTCACTCTGCAGCGTCACCTGTCCCGTAAGATGACGCCAGCGCACACGGCAGCATCACACGTGACAATAAATATAATTCACAGGGGGCGAGCCGTCCTCCAGGATTTTTCAGGCTGGACAGCGAGGGCTGCGGCTTCTCTGTGAACACGCCGTGCTAGTTCCAGCCTGGCCGGGAAGGCCAGCCCTTGCCAGGCCTCTTGCGCTGACCCCAGTCCAGCTGCCACGAGTCTTGCTGCCCGAGGCGGGCAGTGTCCTGACAAACAGGGAAAACCGAGGTCCTCAGCGAGGTCAGGCCTCTGCGCTAGTGCCGGCCGCTGGCCAGCCACAGGCAGGACAGCTCAGAGGTGCACAGTGCGGGACCCCTGCCCAAGGGGCCAGAGGAGGCTCTGCCTTCCCCTGCTGCTGGGCTTGCCAAGTGCCCCGGACCCGCTCACTTGTTTGTTCTTCTGATGATTCGGGTGCAGGGACAGGCCTGCTCGTCCCAAGGCCCCAGTCGTGGGTCTGAGCTGCCCTGTCCCACTGACCGCACTGCTGGTGACCCACGCGTCCACACGGCCATGTGCTCCGGAGCCCAGCCCACCCTGCCTCCTCATCCCCGTCGACTCGGGGACCACAGCTGCTGGCCTGCAGCACATAGGTGTGGACAAGGGCAGTGGGCTGCTCCAGGGCTGACACCAGGGGAGAATCCAGCTGGGCTGTGGTGTCCCGCAGGGGCAGCGCTGAGACCTGGAGGGAGAAGACAGGGGCCGTCAGGGTGGGGGCACGGCCATGGGGCAGGGGATGAGGCCATCAGCCCCACATCGAGAGGTGAAGGGCTGCTAGCTGGATGAAAGGGATTTTTTCTTTTTTCTTTTTTTTACACCCCCAGTGGTGCTCAGGGTCATTCCTGGCTCTGTGCTCAGGGCTGACTCCCAGCTCTGTGCTCAGGGCTGACTCCAGGCTCTGTGCTCAGGGTCACTCTTGGCTCTGACTGAGCTCAGGGTCATCCCTGGCTCTGAGTGACCCTGCCAGGGTCCAGGGGGTCACATTTGGTGTCAGGGTCGCACCCCTTTGGGCCACATGTCAGGCAAGTATAGTACTTTAGCCCTGGACTATCTCTGGCCCTGGAATGAAGTTTCTCACCGAAACTCAGCCTGTAAGAAAGAGGGAGACAGTCAGGAAACCGAGCAAACGGGAGCAGGACCCTCAGGTGGGGGGTGACCACCTCTGTCCTCCCATGCTGGACAGAGACAGTGAGCGGACGGTGCCCTGTGGACAGGACAGGTGGGCCGAGGAGTCCGGCCCCTCCCTGGAGGGCGCCCCGTCCACTCCATCCCGGAGGAGGGCGAGGAGGGTGGGACTCTGCACACCCCAGCCAGGGGGCTGTAGGGTGCAGAGTCCCCCGGCAGGCATGATGCCTAAGACTCTCGAGACTGCCAGCGTCTACTCCGCGCGCAGTCCCGGGGGGTACACAGCTCCCGATGGCGGAGCCGACAAGCCAGCTGGCATGGGGACCTGCCCCCAGCTGCAGAGGCGGCCGCCGGCGGCCTGGAGCCCAGCTTCCCGGTGAAAGGCGGCAGGACTGGGTTTATCTGCTGGCATGCGTGCATCGGGTTACGGCCCACAGCGGAACTTGAGCGTTTCAAGGGCTGAAATGAAACAGCTCCACATGCGCTGAAAGCTGCTATTCGAGCTGAAGGGTGCTACGGCGCCTTCACTCCTGTGGGCGGCTGGGGGCTCACCTACACACACGGGCTGGGGTCGCTGCCACTAGCCCCACCCGGGTGGCTGGCCTTGGCCCCGCCTCCCGGGGCCCCACAGGTTTCCAGGTGCTGGGCTGCGCCCACACGCCAACTCAGAAGCCTCAGCAATGATCCCAACGGCGAGGCTCCTGGAGCCGGTGTGACGGGTGCTCGGTACAAAGTGCAAACGCCTTACACCTCTCCGCCCGCCCCTGCCGAGCCCCGGGCCTGTGCCAACGGCCGCCACGGGCCAGCAGCCACTTGCTCTGTGCTGCCCTTTCTCTGCCACGCTGGGGCTGTTTTCCCAGGCGCGAACGGCACTCACAGGGAGAGGGAAACACTCCCAGGCAGACGCAACCCGAACCTCACTGCTCGGTTCCCGGAAGTGGGGTGCCCAGGCTGTGCGTGCAGGGCAAGCCCATGCGCTGAGACGAACCCTAGGTCAAGCACAGACCTCCGCCTTCCACCCGACAGCCGGCCAGAGTCCAGGGCCAACGTCCCTAGCGACGGGAAAATCACCCTTCGCAGCATTACTCTTCTCTCAGCCCTCCCAGCAGGCTCAGCCCCCAGCTGAGAGCTGACAGTGAATGGAGCCAGTTTCTACTTGCCATGCAAGAGCGTTTGGAAACGCAAAGCTTCCCTGCCACCGCTTACCAAACGCAATAAAAACAAGGCAGACAACTCGTCTGCCCGGAGAAAGTCTCAGCGCCAGACTATCTCCAGCGTCCCTTTGTGCCCTGAGTGAGAACTGGAGCCGGGAAAGCCACTGTTTAGGCAGAACCTCTCTCCAATGCTGCGTCCACCCACCCTGGCCAACCCTCACCCCTACAGCCCCTCCTGATCTCACCAGCCCCCTCTCCCCTCCCCAGAACTTCAGAGGCTGGTGGGGCTGACACCTACCGTGACCGAGCCAGAGTACACGCGGCCCCGGGGCCTTCACAAGCTCGTGTCCCCATTCTGCTTAAACTCGGACAGGATGTTGAGGGTCATGTCCTCGCTCTTGGACTGCAGGTTGGCCTCGCTCTTCCGGGAAGCCTTCCTGGTGGCCCGGGAGAGCCTGCGGCGGAAGGTGTCCCCAGCCAGGAAGTAGAGAATGGGGTCTACGCAGCTGTTGAGGCTGGCCAGCCCCCGGGTCACCTGGTAGGTGGCGTAGACCCGGTCGTTGAAGGCGCACATCTCTGGCGTCTGGAAGGCCAGGCGCGCGCGCAGGTTCATGGTCTTCATGACGTGGAAGGGGATGTAGGACACCGCGAAGACGGCCAGCACGATGATGACCAGGTAGATGGACTTGCGGCGCAGCGGCGAGTTGTCCAGGTCCTTGCTGACGAGCGCGCGCACGATGAGGCCGTAGCAGACCAGGATGAGCACGAGGGGCACGCAGAAGAGCGCCACGGTGGTGCAGAGGCTGTAGACGAAGTAGCTCCGCAGGTGGTCGTCGGCCGTGGTGTCATAGCAGGTGACCGTGCGGTTCTTGCGCACGCCGGTGCCCGAGTAGAAGAGGATGGGCGCGAAGGCGAGGGCCACGGCGGCCCAGACCAGCAGGCTCACGTACACGGCGCTCTTCTTCTGCAGGCGGCCCAGGGACTGCAGCGGGCGCACCACGCCGTTGTAGCGGTGCGCGCTGATGCAGGTGAGGAAGAGGATGCTGCCGTAGAGGTTCAGGTGGAAGATGAAGCGCTGCAGGCGGCACATGGCGTCGCCGAAGATCCAGTCGGTCTTGTTGAAGTAGTAGAAGATGAGCGCGGGCAGCGTGAGCACGTAGAGGAAGTCGGCGAGCGCCAGGTTGAACATGTACACGGAGATGCCGCTCCAGGGCTTCATGTGGCAGGCGAACATCCAGATGGCCACGCTGTTGCCCAGGAAGCCCACGACGAAGACCAGGATGTACACGGCCGGCAGGTAGTAGAACTGGAAGCCGGTCTTGGTGAGCGCGCAGCGGAACGGCGCGGCCGCGGCGCCGGCGCCCGCGGAGCCGTTGGTCCAGGGCGCGCCCGGCCAGGCGGCGTCCGAGGCGTTGGCGCCGGCCGGCCACGGGGCCTCGGCCATGCTCGGGGGCGCGGCCCGCCGGGGTCCCGGCCGCGGCCGTGCGCCCCGCGAGCCCGGGTGGCCGCGCCGGCCGCCGTCCGTGCCGCGCTCAGCGGCGCCCGGGCATGGTCCGCGCGCGCGCTCGGGCGCTCGGCTCGGCGGCCGCGGGAGGCGGAGTCGGGGAGGGCCGCGCGCCGGACACCGGGGGCGGGGACCCTGCCGGCCCGCCCGGCCGCCCGCGCGCGCGGGGTCTCTCTGGGCAGGGGCGCGTCGCGGCGGGTAGGGCGTGGCCAGCGCCGAGCCGGCCCGCCCCGTCCGCGCGCGCCGCTCGGGGACCGCGCTCCCGTCCGCGCGCCCCGCGCGCGCGCACTCGCCCCGCGCCGTCCCAGGCGCCGCTCCCGGTGGGGTGGGCGCGGGGCTGTGGGGCGGGGGTCCCGCGCGGTCCCCAGCCGCGCCCGAGGCGGCGGGACTGGCAGCTGGACCTTGGCGGCTGCGGGTCAGGTGTCCGGCCGCCCGGGAGCGGACCCGGCGCGGGAGACGCTCGCCGATGGGCAGCGCTGCTGGAGGCGGATCCTGCGAAGTCTGCGCGGCTGGGGTCGGCAGTGGACGGGGAAGGACACCCGGGAGAGCCCGGCTGGGGCCGGCAGTGGACAGGGACGGGACGCCGGGGAGAGCCCGGCCGCGGAGCTGCGGTCTGTCCAGGGCGTGAACATTTCTGGAGTCAGGAAGGAGAGGAAGGACGCAGCCCTGCCGCTCTGGGGAAAAGAAATTAAAAAAATAAAAAACTACCCTAATGGAACCTCCGCGGCTTCCTCCGCTCCCTGGTCTCTAGAAGCAAGTTGAATTTCATGATCTTTCACTTTTTTGAGGCCGGAGTGGAGAGCCGAGCCTTTATTCCAGACTGGCCCGGCTCTCCGAGCCCTGAGCCACCTCCGTCTGGTGCAGGGGGAAGGTGGGGGTTGAGAGGAGCCACGGGCTGGGGCTTGGCAGGGGAGAAAGGAAAGCCACGGCCAGGGGCTGGGGCTGGGCGCCTCCCCCTCCAGTCCTTTGCAGCCTCTCCCATCTGCCTGCATCTGTCTGTGCATTAGCTCCTGCCTGCCTTGGGGTGGCTGCCTCCTCCAGAACCATTAAGTGCTTAAGAAAGTGACCCTTCCCTGGGAGCCAGGAGCCTGTGCTGAGTGCCCGCAGGCCTGGGGAGATGGGCTGTCCCGTAGCCCAGGGCCCAGTGCTTCCTCAGGTCCCCCGAGCACAGAGGGGGTTGCAGCCCCTCGAACCTTGCTGGGTCAGGCACCCCAGCTGAAATAAAGCCGTGAACTTGTCAAACACTGCTTTTCCCTCCATTCTGTTCAGCCGAATCCGTAAGTTGTGAGTCCTATGGTTTGTGAGTTTCTTGTGTTTCTTTGTTCGGGGGCCACATCCGGCGGTGCTCAGGGCAGACTCCTGGTGGAGTCAGCCGGGGACCGTAGTGGGCGCCAGGGACTGAGCAAGGGCCCTCCCCGCTGTGCTCTCATTCCAGCCCCACATTATGTTTGAATTGAGATGGTGCCTCGTGGGACAATCGGACGCGTTAGCTCCTGTGGATGGTGGTGACTTTCTGTTTGGAAAACCCGAGAGAGAGTGAAGGAAGGAAAAGAGAAATAGTGCACGTCAGGGCAGGTGATATCTGAATGCCAGGTAGATGCTTTAGTGCCTTTGGTATTCCTCTGTGTCTGGCTAGGGTACAATGCTTGACTCCAGAGTCACAGTTTAGCTGTCAGAGAGCACAAGGCTCAGGGTAGTCCTGGCGGTGATGACCAGCGTCTGGCCTCACCCAGCACCCTGCTCTGCCAGCAGGGATGGTCCCCGCATCCTGTGGTGCTTACCAGTCATCACAGCCTGCCCTACGCGATGGAAGGAAGGCACAGAGACATTAAGTGACCTTCCACATCACACAGTAGACGCTGGGACTCAAACCTACGCTGTCCCAAAATGCACACCCCTGACTCCTCATGCATGATGCAGTGCACAGACAGGAAAATCAACTTCCATGGCCTGGACAGCTTGGTCATGGCCGGGCTTATTCCCGGAAGTTCCGCCAAGGAACCTTTGCTCTAGATCGGGGAGGCCCTGATCGTCTCTGGTGAAATAGAACATTCGTGAACATTCTCTGCGGCTGCTTAGGCTTTTAGGGAAAAGCAACAATTTACATCTATCTGAGAAGGGCAGGCAAGTATGAGGAAGCGGCATCTGCCTAACCTCAGATGCATAAACATTCAGCAACCTCTGCCTGCCCGACCCCAGTGTCCACTGAGGACTCCCTCCCTGTCAAGTCCTGGGGAGTCCCACGGCTCCCTGCACCCCTCTCCACAGGGCAGCGACTGTGGGCAGAGGGCAGGGAGACACCACAGGAGTGAGGCTGAAACCGTCCCAGGGCGGCTTTCTGCAAGTTGCGGCCCCTCACTCGGCCTCCCTGCTCCCCAGCCGGGCGCCTGTGCCCGGGTGGCCCTTCCAGCCTCCGGCCTGTCCACATGCCCACAGGGCTGCTTCCTCGATGGAGTCCGAGCTCATCTCGTTCTGGCTCTCCTCCATCTCTCTGGCCCTCACTCCCTCCTGAGGCAGATCTCCGTGTCTGTGGACTGCCAGCAACTCTGTTCACTCACTGTCTGGGCCCCAGAGGCACCAAAGGGCCAGGGGAGACCCCCGAAATGTTGGGTGGGGGTGGGGGTCCCAGGAGTCTCCTGAGAACAACCACTTGGGTCACGATACAATTCTGAGGAACTTCTCAGGAAAGGCAGAGTCCAGCTGCCACGGCCTCTGAGGGAAGACCAGAAGGAGAGAGACTCCAGGAATTCCCATCTGAAGGAGCAGGAGAGAGCCAGGGCCAGGCTGGGGGAGTCGCAGGAGAAGGACGATGAGGGGCTGAGGGAGGGAGGGAAGGTGAGGGGTCTTTGAGGTCTCCCAGGGCCGCTGTGCCCATGTCCTGAAGCCCATCACTGGTTCATTAAGCTGCACAGCGGGATTTGCCCAGGAGCGGAGAGGCTGGGCAGAGGAGAAACCAGTCAGGGCCGAAGGCAGCGAGGTGAAGTTGAGACAGTCTGGTCACCCCTGCCCCAGCTGTGGCGGCCATCAGAGGACAAGCCCCCTGGGCTAGGCAGACGTTTGTGCCAGGCTGGGAGGTGCTATTGGGAGCAGGGCCCTCCCCTGCCTGGAGACAGCAGCACCTGTCCTGCTGTCCCCAGATGCCCCTTGTCACAGGAACCGAGTGAGCACGGGAGCAGGGTCTGTCCCCAGGAGAGGCTCATCCCTGCCACGCTGTGACACTCCCGAAGAACATCTGGCCCAGAACAGGGCGCAGTCCTCTGCCCCCTGCCCTAACCACTGTCCCCCTGTCCCCAGGGCCAGCCTCTGGGCCCCAGAGAAAAGGGCCAGCCCTCTGTGACCGGCCCCCCCTGACGGGGGCTCGCTGGGCCTCAGTCTCACGGTTCAGCTGGTGGCTGTAGTCTCTCACCACCTGGGTCAGGTGAACCCAGGAAACACCCCATGGTGGGGCAGAAGAATGGGACGACAGGGAGGGCGGTGGCCTTGCACGCAGCTGACCAGAGGTCAGGTCAGCATCCCATCTGGTCGCCCAAGCAGGGCCAGGAATGGCCCCTGAGCACAGAGCTGGGAGTAAGGCTCAGAAAGCAGAACAGAGCAAAATCAAGCCGAGGTCAGAGCGTGGAGCATTGGCCAGTGCTGGAAGCACAGGGGGCTCATCCTAGCCTGGCTGCAAGGCCGTTGGTCCTGCCCTGTCCCTCCTCTGCTCTCCTCCTCCTCCCCCCCCCACCCCTGGCCGCCTTCTCTCCACACACTCCGCAGGGCTGCTACCAGCCTGGCCTCATTTCCATGCTAACCCCTGGGGACGGAGTGTGGACACACATGGCCTGCTCACGGCGGCTGGTGGGCAGGATGGTCCAGCGGTCTGCAGGAGGTGGGGGGCTCAGAGAAGGGCTGGGAGGTCCCCGTGCTGGGTCGGGGTGGGCTAGTGGGACGCAGAGGGTGCTCTCAGGGGATGCTATTGTGGCCCTCATGCTGGCTGAGCCATGGCGCATGGCACAGGACGGGGCCCGCACCAGGGCCGGTGGTGCAGGCTGGAGCAGGAGCTCGAGGTGGGTGCTGGGGTGGGAGCGGCAGGGATGGAGGGGCTGAGCTGTCCCTGCAGGGAGCACAGCTGCCTGCCTCGGCCCCCCCGAAAGCCAGCCTTGGCCAGCTCTGGGCTCGGGGGGCCAGGGGGTGAATTCAGGGGGACACACGCGCAGCCACAGAGCCCCTGGCAGTCAGGACTTTGACATGAGCTCGGGTGAAATTGGATTTGGTTCCGAGATGAGTGTCCAGGAGAAAGCGGGCAGAGACGGCAGCCGCGTGATTGCATTACCCCGTGGAGCAGATCCCATTAGTTACCTCGCTGCAGCAGGGATGTCTCTGCCCCTGGGGGCCTCAGGCGTAGCGCATCCCTGCACACGGCAGCGAGGACAGGGCAGGCTGGCCGAGGGAGACCCTCCTTGCCGGCAGGGGACACTGCCCGGCACACTCAGGCAGTGGGCACGGCAGTCAGGGGATGGTAGAGGCCGGCTGTGTCAGCGGTGAAGGAGGGAGAGTGTCCAGGCCTGGCCAGGCTTAGGGAGGCCTCCTCATGGTACCAAGCCAGTAGCCCTTGCGCCCCCTGCAGTGTCATCTGGGGTATCATGTCACCAGGTCATTCAGCCATGGGCAGGGCAGGGAGGGGCCAGAAGATGCAGGGGAGGCAGGGCGCTGGGCTGGCAGAGGGTCAGCGGTCATGCAGAGATGGGAAAGGTCCAGCCGCAGACACAGCCTCAGCTGTCAGAAAGACATTCCTGCTCGGACAAGCTCCGGGAAGCCGCTGGCCAGGAGGGACTTATTTCCTCTGCAGGAGACAGAGGGTGAGCCTGACACCCAGGAGCAGAGGGCAGGGCTAGGAGGGCAGGGCTGGGAGGGAAGGGGTTGGGAGGGCAGCGTTGGAAGGGCAGGGCTGGGAGGGGAGGAGCTGGGAGGGCAGGGCT